TCCTCCTCCACAATCAGGATCATAACAGCAAGATTCAACTCAAAGGGAAGGAACGTCACAATCATACAATGCTACCTTATGCACCTAAAATAATGTAGATCAAGAGAAGAAGGAGAAATTCTACAGACAACTGCAATCAGTAATGGACAACACTCCACTCCAATTGGCGACATCAAAATTCATTCTAATTGGTGGGGTGACATGAATGCCAAACTGGAAGCGAACAACACAGGAAGAGAATGGATCATGGGCACTCGGTGAGATGATGAATGAGAATGGAGAACTGTTTGCAGACTTCTGAGCATTCAACGACTTGGTGATTGAAGGCGAGGCAGTGTGTACAAACACAAGAATATTCACAAGGCAGCGACATGGATTTGATTTCAACAGACACCAAGACACACTAAAAATCCACTTCACATCGACTTCATCTCAATGTGAAGAAAGTGGAGACACAGTCAGCCTACTGGACACAAGATCAGATAGAGGAAGGAGAGCAGATGTAGGTTCACACCACTCACTATCTAGTGCAAGGAACCTACATAGCTTGAAAATCAAGTTGAAAGTCTTCAGAGAAGTTGGTGAGAGGCCACAGTTCAAGTTCAACACCCACCCAGAACACAGACTGAACTGAAGGACGAAACTACAAAGGACATCTTCACGTCAAGCAGTCATTATGACAAAATGGGAGACATAACATTGAGCAACATCCCTGAGAAACGTGGGTGGATGAACACTGGAACTCTTTGAAGGAGATGTGGAAAGAAACCTGCATAACCGTATTAGCAAGGAAGAAGAAAGAAGACGAGACGAGACGAGGAATGGATCTCGACAGACATATGGAAGCTGATAGAGGAGGGAGAGGAAAATGGTGAAACCGGAGATGAACCAGTGCAGTGTAGTGCAAGAATGAACAACGAAAAGAGGAACTGAACACAACCTATAAAACACTACACTGGACGAATGAGTGAAGAAGAGTGCGTGCAAAGACAAAAGACACTTACTTCTAGGACACACTTGCAGGTGAAGCAGAACAGGCTGCAAGTAAGAGAGACAGAGACCTGACAACACTATATCAAATAACCAGGTTACTATCTGGTAGGGAAGAGATCAACGCAGATGAAACCAGTGAGAGACAGTGAAGGAAAGCTAGTTAGCAAAGAGGAGAAACAAAGGGAGAAAACCATGGGCTGACCACTTCAAAAAACTCATGAGTCGACTACCACTACCAGCTGCAACTCGTCGAGAAATACCACCAGCAGCCGAGTCACAGAATTACCAGTGAACACAAGCCCTCCGACATAGCAGAAGTGAAGTCCTGAAGGCTATAAAGTTGCTGAAATCCGGTAAAGCAGTAGGACCAGATGGGATTCCACCAGAAGCACTGAAAACAGACATAGAGACAACAGCGAACACGCTCACACCACTATTACAGAAGGTTTGTAAGGAAGGAAGGAAGGAAAGGTGCCTGCCAGTTGATTGGAAGAAGGGCTATTTTACCAAACTTCCAAAGAAGGGAGACCTAAGTCTTTGTGAGTGCTAGCGAGGAATCAAGCTCCTGTCACTGTCCACCCCTAGCAAGCAAAATAGTAAGCCGCATCATCTTGGAGAGACTAAAGGATGCCCTGGATTCAAAATTACGACCGGAACACGCTGTCTAGCTAGCTAGCTTCAGGAAGAACAAACCATCTGCGAGCCAAATCGCAACGCTACCCATCATCATACAACGGGAGTCAAATCTCTACTTCAACTTCATCGACTTTGTAAAGACCTTCGACAGCGTTGACGGAGAAGTAATTTGGAAACTGCTTCAACAGCTGTATGCTATATAACGACGCTACATGTCAAGTGACTGACAAGGGAAAGCTGAGTGACGCCTTTGAAGTGAAGACAGGAAGGAGTAAGACAAGGTTGCCGCCTACTATCACTGCTCATCTGCCTGATTGTGGTCGACTGGACTGAATCATTCAGTAAACCGTGAGGAGCTATGAGAAGATGGGCATATGCTGGCTGGACCGATGAAAAGAGCCTAGGAGATTCGAATTTTGCCAATTATGTTAGTCTAATGTCGCACAAACTTGAAGATGCACAGGCAAAATCCAACAAGAGAAAACTGCAGAGCACAGAGTGGAATGGAGACGTGCTACTGATGTCTTATGTTCCACTAGGAACCCAAGGGACAAATAATTAATAATACAATGTGAGCTATGAGCGAATATATAAATTAACATTATTTTCTGACATAATTTTAATCTACCACCTTACGTTAAGGTGTGCAGGTCGATACCCATCTAAAGAGATATACGTTCACAGCGTGATCCATTGACCAGTAGTAGCTGAATTCATTCAGTCAACACGGGATATGGTAATATTGGATAACAGCCCAAGTTGTCATACCTCATAACAGCATATCAGCATATCAAGGTACAAGTAGGAAATGTAGTCAGAAATCATCACAGGAAGAGGGGCATAACTGAAGTCTTAATCATCGAATGAGACAACTTTACTATCAGCCTACTGTAGAATCCATTGACGAGTATAACCTTGACCTCTTTTAAACAAATCTATGCAGGTCAAATACAACTATCATAGTATCTACGGTTAAACTTATAGTTGAGAATCAGTCATCTAGACGAAATTTGTCAACAGAGAAGCTATCATTATTGTCAAACAGTTGAAATTATTGAAGTTAATATATACACGTGCATACACACATGTGGATCAAAAAGAGAAAAGACAGTTAATCTCCAGTCATATATATCATCAAGAGATTTTGGCAGTTGGTTCCGCTTGTTCCATAGGTCTCAAACTAAGTACTAATGTCACGTTTTTCTCTGCTCAAGTAACTAACCGTAAGGAAACTTTTCAAGATGGATAAATAAAGGTATATGGTTCCGTTAGAAGATGGATAATACAATTGAGGATCACCGATTTCCGGCTTACCATCAATTCAGATCAAGGGACAATCATAAGAAGTGTATGCCAAAGATCATCTTGAGAAAGATAACGTACACACACACACTGTAACAATTTTGTTAGCCTATGTCAGAAAGGAAATTAGAAGAACAAGCAGAATATGCTCACATAAACAAGGATAGATGAAGAACTGCATAAACTCAAGACAATATATCTCCAGAGAATTTCACTCAGAAAAGGAAAAGAACAATAAACGAAGCGGTTATTACCGACCTCTCTACCGACTTTGATTAACACACCATAAATATGGTAACTGTTGTTAAACTGACTTATCCATATAGATCCTACAACCATGGTTGGAAGATACAACTATTCGGGTTAGTATAAGAGAGTATGTACAAATCCAACTGTTTCTATGGAATAAGTCAACTTGGATGCACAGTGTGAAGCGACCTATGATAACCTGCTAAAGAACGTTTAAGTAAATCGATCATAAAATGGATAAGAAAAAATACCTAGCCGTTTGATATAGGAGATAAGAAACTGTCTTTTTTAAATAGTTAAAGCGATTACTACCCTCACTCACATGATTAAATCATCCTACATGAACCTGAATGTCTTTTAACTTAGTGTCAAACTTACTTTTAGGTTAGAATTCATCACAGACTGACATCAGCTGGAGGAATATTGGAAACCTGGGAGCGCTGGATAGCTGTTTCGTCCCACTTGTATAGGACTCCTCAGCAGTGTAATATCCATGACCCCACCCCGAGGGGTTGAAACCAGGACCATCAGGTTCCGTAGTGAGCACACTACCATTGAGTCAGTGGGTAGGGGGGATCCAATGGTCTATATTTCCTACTTCTGTCAGTTCACGATATAACACGACTAGCAGAGTCAACCAAGTCGAACATGAGGACATTTACTCAACGACGACATTGGATGTAGGTCGCGCTATATCGTGAACTGATGGAAATATGGTACATTAGATTCCGACCCCGTGGCTAGCTCAACAGTAACGTGCTAGCCCCAGAACGTGAAGTTCATGGTTGCGCGCCACTGAGGAGTCCCATACAAGTGGTACGAGACAGTAATGCAGTATTCCCAGGTTTCCAGTATTTCTCCAACTGATGTCAATCGATAATGAACTGCAACAAAAAATCAATTAATAAATCTCCATAAACCTCCAGATAGAATTGAGTTAGCTTACTTTTCTTCTGCTTTCTCCTCCCCTCTACTAATATATTTTTGATTCCCTAGATTTACTTGAATGTTGAATTGTGTCAATAGGTTCTTGTAAGATTGAAATTTATCAAGGAAGCCAAATGTAAAATACAAATGACTGAAAAATATCAATTTATTAGCATGGTTAGTTGAAGAAAAACACAGAAAAATCAAGTTCATTCTCAGACAGTTTCTAAAAATTTTTTAGAGACGCTTTCTCTTTCTCTCTCTCCTAATGGATAGATGAAACTGAAAGTTATTTTCCATAAACGTTAGACTGAATTCATCTTATCAAAGACTATGATGTACTACAGAGGGAGAGAGAGAGAGAGAGGTTACAACCAATCAAATTTCAATCGTGAGAGAAAGCATACACAGATCGGTGAATTCAGACTTAAATATACTGCAATCATACAAATATTTATTCCTTGAATATGCAACTATAAACAGCCAATTTTTTTGCATACTGCAGTAATGATATCCTAAATGGTTGGAGGGAATCAGCAGGAAATCAGTGATCTAGGTTTTCTGCTTGTTAGTACTTATCAAGAACCTTAAGTGAAATAATCCCTCCTCTATAAGATCAATACACCTATATCACCCAATGCTCCAATCAGAGATGTTAACATTCAGCTATTCAACCAACGATTGACTTCTCATAGAGTAACGTTGAGATAAGATGATCGATTACTAGAGACAGAGGCAGAGAGAGAGAGTAGACAACCACATGGTGGGATGTCTAATAGAATGACTATACCAGACACTTCATTGATTGAATCATAAGTGACCGATTACAGTTATGAGCAATATGAAAACTGGATAAAATGAACAAGTAATTAACACAACAACAATGAACTTACTTTGAAAATATAAAAGAATAAACCGAACAAGGCTGGTCCCAGGCCACCACATAAACCTCGAATTCCTGTGACAAGACCCTAAAAAGAAGTACATTAATGAAGACAAAGAAGATAACCACAAAGTAAAAGTAGTACACAACTATGATATTGAATATAAGTGTATCAGTGAACAATGCAACTCACTAGAAAACAGATCAGTTGGTATGTAACCCAAAATGTTAATTGTTAAGTATCATAAAAGACAGAGAGTATTAGGGTGAATCGACTTAATTATGGGAAGTTAGTATTTCTTAACATCTTGTTTTTCCAGTAAACTACATAAAACGCAAGCATTACAAGCCGTTGCGGTTTGTCATATGTACAAAGAGAGCATTAACTTTGTGACTATATTACGAAATTGGTCGACATATTCCGATCAATACTGAGCATTAATAATTAGAGAGCTATATTAGTTATTCACTGATGTCCAATTCGTGTACATTCTAAGGTGATGTCAGTCCAAACACCTGTTCTAGGAGGAGCGGTAATCTAAAATACACCCATATTATCGACACCCAACTGTAATATGATGTATCTGAGTCTGTGTTTCAATACGAGTAAAAGAGTGTCAATAAAATGGGGTTTTTTAGCGGATGAAAATATGCCAACCTTCGTCGAACAAAGGCGTACATCAAGTAAAAAAAACAGTGAACTGCAAGATGAAAAAAACAAAATTCACTCAAAAGAAAGACAACGTACGAAAAGAAAGAAAGGAAGAATGACAAGATGGTGGGGTTCGGTATAGCGTCGTTAAAATGAGGATAATGTGTGTATACATCTGAGCCACTCACATCGGTTCTCAGTCATGTCATCACCTAGAGTCAGTCTCCGACCACTGGATCCTCTTGTCCCGCGGATCCCAACCACCCAGTCTGCATCGCCCCGCATGGCTCAAACCAACAGTCAGAGACTTCATACATTGGTGCCATGTTTTAATCTGGCCACCTCGGGCCTTTTCCAGCCTGGACCTACTTCGGCCAACATTGTGTGACGAGGTGATCGCGACTAAACATACGTAACACATGTCCCAACCATTTCAGTCGATAAAGGTTCATAACCTCGTCAACTGACTTACCTTCACTCCCTAAAACTCTACACCTGAGCCTGACTTCTGCGTTACTCACGTGATGACACCACGGAATACAGCCTATACTTCAAAGGCGACGATGGTCAAACACTTGAAGTCTTCTCATGTCGTCCACCTTCAATGGTCATGTTTCACAGCCATACAGTAGGACAGAGCGGACTGCTGTGCAGGTGCAGTACATGCGACCTTTAATAGACAATCGAATATCACGGCGGCTTCAAAGGTGACGTAAGTTGGCATCATTGATCATCTACAATATCTTACAGTTGAAAAACAAGACCAAGTCGAATGATACATTCACTGTTCAAAACACAGTTTAACAGCTTATCACAAAAGGTGACAGTGTAGGTTAGTAAATGCTACACAAGTTTTCTGCGTTTTTTTTACACTGTATTATCTCTGTAAATATCTGGTACGGGAAAAAATATTTTAGACAAGGTTCCGAAGTTGGGAAGAATGGAAATCCACTCAGTAATTATACGCACGTTCATGCAATAATCGATGAACCATATCTATAGTATGAGGAACTTGGTAGATGGAATAAGGTTCGAACCCATAACCAAGTGGTTGAAAGTTGAATGGCTAGATCAATGAGTCATAATAGAGGGTTCCAACTGCTAACAGCTGAAATTCCGGATTTCCACTTTTTCCTCTTCTTCCTACGATAAAATCAGACAGGCAAATAGCAAAATAGCACTCAACTTCCTACTTATTAAACTGTTGTAAATATTCACTATTCCGCTTTGTGTCAATTCCAGGTAGAACACTTCCATAAGCATTGATCTTACCAACCAGTTGTAATACAAATCAGTTCACAAACATACTGTGCTTACTACTAACCACTTTTTTTGAAAAAAAGATTTTCTTTTGATAGATACTTGAGACTGAAATTTTGTAACCAACTTCTTTCTTCTTTTCTCTTTGTGTCACAGACATACACACGTAGCACTACTTGAATGATTGTCTAGGAGGAGACGATAAAAAATGATCCAAGTACAACACATACACACGGGGGGGGGAGGCAGGTTAAGCTTCACAAGACACACATACTGCGTTGTTCACACACACACGAATCGAGGTGATAAAAAAGCAAAACAAATAGAGGAGGACAACAACAAAGTTAACCATCAATCAATTTTCAACCAACGAGTTAAATACATTGGAGGAAAAGGCTTCTTTAAAATATAACCAGCTCTATGAAGTGAAATAAAAATTTGGTCAGTAGTGGAGCATTGTTCATGCAGTAAACAGTGAGAAGAGGGGGATACGCTGACTGGACCGATGAAAAGATCCTAGAAGATTTGGATTTCGCAGATGATGACATATGTCCAGTGTCACACAAACTTGAAGATCTACAGGTGAAAACTAACAAGTTGACAGAAGAGGCGAGGCATGGCAATGAAGACGGGACTTTAAGTGAACGTAGAGAAGACAGAGGTGGAGGTGATGATGATACCCAACCAACACCACCACCACCACAACAACAAACACCATTCACCATCAATGGGAGAAACTTGAAGGAAGTAGTCTCTTTCACCTATCTAGGTAGGCAGCATTGTTTCAACTACGGACAGCACAAGCACAGAAAAGGACGTCAAAGTCAGCCAAGAACGGAAAAGCAAAACAGGGGTTCATTAACCTGAAACCAGTGTGGAGATCTTATGCACTCAGCATATAGCATAAACAAGATCCGGATTTTCAACACCAATTCAGTCAAGTCATTGCTGCTATATGGTTGACAGACTTGGCGCCTCACGAAAGGCATTCCCAACAAACTACACACATTCATCAACAACTGCCACCTACACTCATTCGATACTGACACTGAAGATCAGATGGGATGGCCAGAATAATAAGAATAAGCAACAAGGAACTCTCGCCGGCCAACGAACCAACCAACAACCTATCGCTCAACAAATATGCAGAGGAAGGAAGTGGAGATGGATTGGGCATACACTGAGAAAACCATTCGGGTACATCACGCGCCAGGCCCTCGAGTGGAATCTAAATGGGAATCGACGAGTTCGGTGTCCGAGGGTGACATGGAGGAGATGATGTGAGGAAGAAATGACAGCTTGTGGGCAGTGGTGGAGCCAGGTTAAAAGAGAAGACTGAAGAGAACAGAATGGAATGGAGACGTGCTACTGGAGCCCTATGTTCCACTGGAACCCAAGGGACAAATAATGAAAGAAAATAGTGGAACGTTGTAGCTCAGTCGGTAGAACATTGTATCAGAAACCTGGTAGTCACTGGTTCGAATGCTACCGCAGTACAAATTTTCATTTCATCTTGAATCATCACTCAGTATCAATACTAGTCTATCGAAACCACGGCTATCTCAAATAGTCAAAATGATAATCAATATATATCTCGCTAGATTATCATCCACACCCCCACCCGTATGTGGTATTAAACTGTAAAATAAATTTGACAAAGTAGAGTATAATGAATTGACCTTAATTATACCACCTATATGTAAAATAACTTTAGATTTAAAAGTTAGTCATTGGCCTTATTGAATAACAATTATAATCTACAGGATACATTGATTGATATACTGGCTGAAGCAATACAACGTTTGACATAATAGGTAATTGATTCAACTTATATGCTCCATATAATATAAGAGAAGACTAACAATTTAGGAGAACGTAAAGAGAACCATAACAACACGAACTAGAAGAAAGATACTGATGTGGAAAGGAAAAAAAATATGAAAAAGAATAGTAGAGGGATAGGCACTATGGCAGAAAGTGATTCCATATCATATAAGTTGATTTAATGTAATATATAGTGGTAGAGTATTGTCCACTGGATTCAGTTAGTAAATATCCAGGTATGCACACTACAGACCCAGTTAAAGTATACACGCACTAGTCTGGCTATAAATTGGATTTAAGATGTTAAAAGCTATTGAAACTATCCGTCTTCTACAAACGAAGTAGACGGAGATCAGTTTGAAATAAGGATAAATTGCTTCAAAGTATATCACAAAATGAAGGAACAGTATTGTTTACTGGATTACGTTTCGGACATAATTTATTATCCATAGTCATACTGAGCAAGATAACTGTACAACTTTGAGACATCCTTTTATATAGTCCGAATTTCCTCGCCTCCTTTGCAACATGGGTAGTAAGATTTTCCGTCTATCTGGAATAGGTGCTGATTCGACAGATAAAGATTCAGTTATCAGTCTCTCTCTCAACCCTGTTATGTTAGTTTTAAGGATCACCACCCTGACCTATCCTACTGTGTGGTTGTGTGTAATCGCATGCATAGGTATGGCTGAGCTTTTTTTTCTAAATTTCTTACCTTACTAAGATCTACCAATTTTGACCTAACTAGGTTTTTGTGTTCGGATAGTCTAATTAACCCTGGTCGACTACTTTAACCTATGTATTTGACATCGCAATCGATACAAGGGATTTGGTAAACCAACCTATTCTGCTTGTTTGGGTCAATAGAATTTTTTAATCTACAAAGCTTATTTCAAAGTGAGTTTGTAGGTTTAAATGCCACTCCCAGCCAACCTTATTGACAATTCCACGTAGTGTTTCTGAGGTGCCTTCTTTTTATGGTAATACTGTAGAGGTTTTGAATTTTTTCTTCATAATATTGCCACTGCTATTATTAGCATTATTGTTAGCACTATTATTAGTAACTGTGTTACTGATGTTTTTCTTATGATTCTTAAGGAGCTTATCAGTTAATTTTGGAGGGTAATTGTTGATGAGTTAAATCTCTGCAAGAAACTTGCTCTGTCGTATACATCATAGTTAACAGTGAAACATTATCCTAGAATTAAATTACTTTACATTATTTTGATTAAGACTATGAAGTTGGAGTCATCTACTTATGGAGTCTTATTCTTTCTTCAATTGATCTTTGTGAAATGGTAGCACTTCAAGGAATAAGCACCAAAACTAGTCCAGTTTAGACGAATCCTTAT